TTATTTAAAAGACATTGTATGATATCTTCTCCTAGTATTAGAAACTTTAAAAAGTATATTTCCATTTTCTGTTGACTTTAAAAAAGAACCCAGAGGTTTGTACCAAAAAAAAAAAAAAAAAAAAAAAATCATCATAAGTTTTATTACTATCGTAAAGAATTACCTTTGACATGATTTTGAACTCAGGTTGTACGTGTTTTTAAACTGATGTAGTGTTCCTGAGGTACCTGCCGCAACTGCCTGGCCAGGTGCGCACACTGCAGTATGTATTATGAGGAAGAATGGTGACTCGGCACCGCAAGGCTGTGGACGTCACTGCCCACGTAGATTCTGACAGATGTAGCTAACAAATCATGCTTTTATAAGGGAATATCCACTGGCTTTCCCTGTGACTTTCCAGGCTTGATGAGGAAGTTATGACTGCTCTCTTGGGATGAAGCAAAACAGTGCCCTTGCTGCTTGCCTCGGGCTCTGGCTTAGAGACCTGGCCCCACCTGTCCTGGGCAGCCAGCCGGCTGGGCCACCAGGTGGACTTTTCGGTGCTGGACGGGGTTGCACTGATAAATAAAGCTCCTGCCGCAGTCTTCACATTCGAACGGCCTCTCTCCGGAGTGAATTCTCTGATGTTTAATAAGGACAGAGCGGCGACTAAAACTCTTACTGCACTGGCTGCACTGGTGAGGCTTCTCCCCAGAGTGGATGGGGAGGTGGTGGAAAAGCCCGGCATTCTGGCTGAAGGCCTTGCCGCAGACCCGGCACCGGTAGCGCTTCTCCCCGGTGTGCAGCCGCTGGTGCTGGCAGAGGCCCGAGCGCGGGCTGAAGGCCCGGCCGCAGGCGCTGCACGTGTAGGGCTTCTCCTCGCGTGCCTTCTCTGGTGCTCCACGAGGGTGGAGTTCTGGGAGAAGCTCCTCCCACATTCCCCACAGGCGTAGGGCCGCTCTGCCGAGGAGCTTACCCGCTGCCTGTCCAGTGCGCCCTCCTGGCCACAGGCGTCTCCGCACGCTGGCCCTTGGGTGACATCACTGCGGAGAGTCCAGGTTCTTCTGCAGCAGCGTTTTCTCTAGCGTATCTCCTCCCCTGGTGCTAACTGCACATGCCAAGCCTCAGCTCCACCATCTGCAATTACAAAAGGATGGCGAGAATGTTACCTTTCCAAGGAGAAAAACAGTAATCAGAAAAGTGAGGTGAAAGGACGGCACTTTCTTTCACTCTAAAGCAATTCTGCCCAGACCTCTAGAACAGGACACTGTTCGCCTGCCTGCCCCGTTCAGACATACACTTCACAGATACGGGTCCAGGTCTGGCTTGCTCTTCAGTCCCCATGGCACCTGGCACCGGGCCTAGCACGGAGCAAACACTGGGCGAGTGGGCCAAGTGCATGAGCACGCATGGGAGGGCTGGGCTCCTCGAAGAGGGACTCCTTACCGGTCTCCTGCACCGGGCACACCTCTTGCAAGTCTGAGCTCCGGAACTGGCCAAGTGAGGACACCTGAGCTGCTCCTTGAGTTGCCTTCTCCCTCAGAGCCTCTTCTTGCTCATAAGTGTGGGTTGGGACCTGGTGGAAACAAAGGACGGGAGAAGGAAATGTCAGAGGACACCAAAAGGCAGGCTCCTCAGGGCCAATGCATAGCAAAGAACCCTGAAGCCTAAAATGCAAAGGTAGAGAGATTAGCAGCATACAGCAGAGCCAGTCAGGCATAAAGAAACTCTTTTCTTCCTCTTCCCCTTGTTGCACTGAAACCTCTTATTTGTTCTACAGGTGCAAACCTCTGTTCCCCAGATCTTCCCACCTGCTCTCCCGGCTCATCCAGCTCGCGCTCCAAGTCCTCCAGCACCGCCACCGCCTCGTCCCCGCTCTGGGGATGCCGTTGGCGCACCCAGGCCTGCAGCTCCCCGGGCAGGACGGCCAGGAACTGCTCCAGCACCAGCAGCTCCACGATCTGCTCCTTGCTGCGGGTCTCGGGCCGCAGCCACCAGTGGCAGAGCTCGCGGAGCTGGCGCAGCGCCTCCCGGGGCCCGGGGGTCTCCCGGTAGCAGAACTGCAGGAAACATCTACGGAATAGCTCCCTGTTCTCCAGGGTCTTTCCTGACCAGCTAGATTCTTGCCCACAGGCATGGCTCATCTCCTCCTTCACCTTCACTTCCAGAAGCCCTCGCCGTGCCTCTGCAGTGTGCAGGGCCAAGGCCGTGGACATTTCAGGTTGAACCATTCAAACAACAATCTATTCTTGGTAACTCCCCCTTGAATTTTTCTTCGGGAAATCCCAAGATCTACAATATAATTTGCAGAGAAAAAATACAGAGATGCAGAAAACCTGGCAAAACCCAGTTGCTGGGCTGGTGAGATGGCTCAGTGGTCTAAAGCACCTACTTAGAACAAGCTTAGCAAAGCACAGGGACCACAGTTCAATCCCCCAGCACCACATGCCAGCCCGCCCCGCCCCCTGGTGGGCTGAGCTGGCCACACACACACAAATAAAATTAAAAAAAAAAAAAAAAAAAAAAAAACCAGTTGCTTTGCCTCATAGAGAGCACATAGTGAACACACAACACTGACCGTGCAGGTCGCACGGGAAGGAGAACAGACCAGGACAAAAGCTGCCCCAGCAGATGGAAGGACACCGCTTGGCATATCTCCACTGTGCTAGGCTTTCACTTAAACGGCACGATGTAAGACTCAGAGCAAGTTTGCAGTTGGATGAAGGGAACAGACCTCCACGTAGGGCCAGCTGGCAACAGATGACACTAACAATTTAAAAGGGAAACAAGATGGAGGGTAGAGGGTGGAAGGTAAAGTCAAGCAGCTCAGAAGTCAGAATGAGAAGTGAAAAACCGTGCGTGTGCGTGGGGAGAAGGCGAAGTCCCTCCACTGGGGTGAGGCATGGCCAGGGAGGTCTGCGGCTGCAGTCGGCAGGGCTGGGAACCGCGGTCCTTCCCATTCGCTCTGCAGTCTCAGGATGCGTTTTCTGCCTCGATTTGTGGAAGAGGAAGCCTACAGTCAACACTGCTTATCTTTCTAGGTTGCTATAAAGACAACATGAGGTACCAACAAAGAGCAAAGAAGCTGGCAGCTGAACAACTTCTAAAGCATCTTACAATCACTATTATCCTTATAAATCTTGCTGAAAGAGTAAACGAATTTCCTAGTGACCTAGAGCACTAAGGCCAGCGAATCGAGGCTGTGGCACTGTGATCGCGGCTGAGAGGCCCCAAAAGAAGGCAGCGTGAGCTTTAGTATTGTGAGAGGGTAGAACCCGAGCTTGGGAATTCTCTTGTTTTGGAAATTGTTCCTCCATGAATTCTTCTGAGGATAAAAGTGGGCAATTTCTTTCAAAAGAAAACTACCACTAATAGAGACATACATACATCTATGACCACTTGAGGCATATGAACAATCTTATTCATGATGCTAATGAGCGAATGAAATTTTCTAGAAGAAAAATCGCTGTGTGAACTAGTGGTTTTAATAAGTGTTTAAAATTTAGGTAGGCATATTTTTGGAACATACATCATACGTAAAGTGGTGGAAATGTGATAGAGAAAATAAAGGTAAAGGAACATGGAGCAGGGGGAAAAGACACTGCTCTTTCTTTTTTATTTCAGGTAGGAAACATGGTTTATTCTTTTTTTTTTTTTTTTTTTTTTTTTTTTTTTTTTTTTTTTTTTTTTTTTTTTTTTATGATACCAGGGATCAAACTCAGGACCTTGCGCTTGCCAGGTAAGCACTTATTCCATTGAGCTATCTCCACAGCCTGGTTTATTCTTATAAACAGAACTATTTCCCTCTGGGATCTCTCCATCTGTAGAAGCTATTCCAATGATTATTTTTAAATACTTAACTTCAGGAAACCTGCCCCTCTCCAATAGAGCCACAGATGCAGAGGAAGACCGCCTGCTCAGGGGGAGGCCGAATGCCACCGACAATGTGCATGGGTCCTTGGGAGAAAGCACTTGAAGTCCCTTTACAGCTGTGCTGCCTCCGAAGCCACCCTTCGTGCAGTGATGGCTTTGGAATTCATCTCTGCTCATCTCATCTGGTCTTCAACACTGGTCCTCCCACTCAATGGCTGATTTGGAGTTCTTGGGAATTGTTGGAAACACTGATTGCATTTTACTTCGAAAAGTCTTTCATGGTGTGGACTCCTAAAGCTTTCCAGACTGCAAAGGTGATCACACCAACCCCACACCAGCCCAGAGCTCCAAGGCCAGAGAACACTCGGCCATGCTCACCTTACTGAACCATTATAGGCTTTTCTTTCTAGCCAGTGATACTGTTGTATATACTAGCATCCCTGCTGCAGCAACAGGACCCAGGAAAGTTCCACCTTTAATCAAGAAAAGCTGGTGGTCCGTGGAACCCTGAGCCTCCAGTGAGGAGGACTAGACAGGCCCGCACCCGCAGTTTCTGTGTTTATGTCTCCCCTAGTGCGTCCCACACCAACAGGGTCAAGACTGCTATTCTGTAAGTCAGAGAAGGCTCTGCTGAGAGCAACTGAGAGGTGAGGGGCAAGTCACGTGGCCACTGGGAAACACAGCTCGGTGCACGAAGAAAAAGGAGATATTTGGAGTTAAAGGAATCCTAGGGGCCATGGAGATGGCTCAGTAGAATAAGCGCTTGCCTGGCAAGCCCAAGTGTCTGAGTTCAATCCCCAGTTCCACCAAAAAAAAAAAAAAAAAAAAAAAAAGGAATCCTGGAGACATCAAGACACCAGTTCAACTAGGCCTTAAACACAGAAAGCAAACCGGGAAGCGACAAAAGATGGAACCACGGGCTTGGCAGCACCCTCTCTGACTTCTGCATCCTTTCCAGCCCAGCCAGCTCTCGCTATGAGCTTGGCATACCCTCTCTGGACTTGCGCATCCGTTCCAGACCAGCCAGCTGTCCTCGAGACTCCTATGTCCCGTGCTGTCTGTGTCCCAGTTACCTTGTTCACAGCCTAGCTGTACTGCTGCTTTCACTGTTTTATATCCAAAGAATACAAAGGAACGTAGAATTCCTTCACCGATCTCTACTCCCTAGAAGTACAAAGCCCGGACTGCATCTTTTCAGACCTTTCTTATGCAGCTGCAACCACTCACACAAATGCAGTGCTCATCTGAACCTGTAATTTTCCTATTTACATGAGAAAATCAGAAGGGAGGATTATGAGGTAGCAGAGGGCAGGCAGATCCAGCTGTGGACTCTAACAGTGATCTCGGGTGCATTACTTCAATTTTTGAGCCCCAAACTCATGTATGAAGAGGACAACAATCACATTGCAAAACTGTTGAGAAAACGAAATGAAGCGGGTTACAATGTATATAAAGTCGTCCTGCATAAAGAATGGCACAGAGCAAACCTGTAAACTAACCTCGAGATGTGCAACTTGGGTACCCTGGGGGCTTAATCAACAGTTGCTACTTTTCCTCATCACCGCGACTATAATCTCTTCCTATGGCCCAGAGAACAAGATGAGCGGGCTAGTGGGAAAGTGTATCAAATAAAACGCGTTTCATTAGGCCTTGGGACCCTCTCTGGCACACTTTCATGTCTTCGGATACACACGCTAATTTCAATTCCTAACTTCTAAACTACCAATCTCAGAAGAGAGAGTACGGGACCCAAAGGGCAGCATCCCGGGCTGGGGCTGAAAAGCTCATCCAGAGACAGAGCCGAGTCGGCGCTACCGAGCTTTTAAGAGAGCGGACTCTGAGGCAAACGGCCGACGGGACTCCTGGGGACGCGGACTCCGCGGGCGACCACCTTGCGAGCCCCGCGGCGGCACTTCCTTCTCCGCTGTTAGAAGGGCGGGTGGGGAGGGGATTCTACAACCGCTTATCTCGTGAAGTCGCGAGAAGGACATCTGCGAGGTGCTTACAACAGGGCTCCGCGGGCCACTGGGCCGCCGAAACAGACCAGCGCCCGGCGACAGCAGGAGCCGCGACGCCCCGGCCGCCGCCGCCGCCGAGCGCCACCCTCGCTCCAGGCCCACGCGAGCCGCGAGAGACCCGGGCTCGGGAACACAGCCCGCGGCGCCCATGCGCCCCG